TTTATCAACAGTGCTATAGACTGTCTCCAAGCGAGCCCTCAGCGGCTGAGTCTGCCATGATAAACCTTACTTGAGAAGTCCAGCTAAAGAGAGGACATATAAGATAACAGTCCATGAATGCTCACCTCTGCTTCTCAATTCTTGGAGTAGACTGACTATACAAGCAGAGATGGTTGAAAAACTACTTTTTCTAACTGTGCCTCAGAAAGGGCAGACCCTCGTGTGTCGTGGCCATAGAAAGTATGGTAGGGGGAGAGAGGGAACAGTTCTTACTAATATGTCCCTGACCCAGTAATATAAATATATGATCTATGTAACCAGTCTCTGAGGAATAAAAAATTTGAGGCTAAACATACATTTTTAGACAATTGCAAGAAATGTGGTAATATTGATGTCTCAGACACATAGACAACATCAAAAAAATTCAGAGCGAGTTTAGTCAATGAAGTCTACTCTTTCAAAAGGAGGAAGTAGAGAAATAGAGAACAAAACAAAACAGATATATGATGAGGGGAAACTGACTTAAATAAATACAAGTAGTCCCTAATTTCAAGATCTATCCTGAAGTACAATGCTGTCAGTTATAGGATAACATCCATATGCCTACAAGGAATAATATGACTACTATTCAAATTTACACACAAACCACTAATGCCAAAGATAAAGAAGTTGAAGATATTTACCAACTTCTGCAGTCTGAAATTGATCAAACATGCAATCAAGATGCATTGATAATTACTGATAATTGGAATGGGAAAGCGGAACACAAAGAAGAAGGATAGGTAGTTGGAAAATATGGCCTTGGTGATAGAAACAATGCAGAGGATCACATGATAGAATTTTGCAAGACCAATGTTTTATTCATGGCAAATACCTTTTTTCAACAACATAAACAGCAACTATGAATGTGGACCTCACCAAATAAAATACACAGGAATCAAATCAACTATATCTGTGGAAAGAGCCTAAGGAGAAGCTCAATGTTATCAGTCAAGACAAGGCCAGAGGCCATGTGTGGAACAGACCATCAATTGTTCATAAGTCCAAATTGAAGCTGAAGGAAATTAAAACATGTCCACAGGAGCCAAAGTACAACTTTGAGTATATCCCACCTGAATTTAGAGACCTTCTCAAGAACAGATTTGATGCATTGAGCATTAAAGATTGAAGACTAGAAGAGTTGTGGGATGTTATCAAGGACATCACACATGAAGAAATCAAAAGGTCATTAAAATGACAGGGAAGAGAGAAAAGACCAAACTTGTGTCAGAAGAGAATCTGAAACTTGCTCTTGAAAGTAGAGTAGATAAAGCGAATGAAGAAATGATGAAGTAAAAGAGCTGAACATATTTCAAAGGGAGGCCTGAGAAGACAAAGTAAAGTATTATAATGAAATGTGCAAAGACCTGGAGTTAGAAAACCAAAAGGGAAGAACACACTTGACATTTCTCAAGCTGAAAGATCTGAACTAAAAATTCAAGCCTTGAGTTACAATGTTGAAGCATTCTATGGGCAAAATATTGAATGATACAGAAAGCATCAAAAGAAGATGGAAGAAATGCACAGAGTCACTGTACCAAAAAAAAATTCGTCAATGTTCAACCATTTCAGGAGGTAGGATATGATCAAGAACTGATGATATTGAAGAAAGAAATGCAAGCTTCACTGAAGGCACTGGCAAAAAACAAGGCTCCAGGAATTGACAGAATAGCAATTGAGATGTTTCAACAAAAGGATGCAATGCTGTAAGTTCCCACTGGTCTATGCCAAGAAATATGGAAAATAGTTACCTACCCAACCAACTGGAGAAATTCCATGTGTGTGCTCATTGCAAAGAAAGGTGATCCAACAGAATGCAGAAACTATCAAAAAATATCATTTAATATCACATGCAAATAAACTTTTGCTAAAGATAATTAAAAAACAGTTTCAGGAGTAACATCAACAGGGAACTGCCAGAAACTCAAGGTGGATTCAGAAGAGGATGGGGAACAAGGGATATCCTTGCTGATGTCAGATGGATCTTCGTTGAAAGCAGAGAGTATCATAAAGATGTTTACCAGTGTTTTATTGACTATGCAAAGACATTCGACTATGTGGATCATATAAAATTATGGATGACACTGCAAAGAATGGGAATTCCAGAATACTTAATTCTGCTCATGCAGAATTTGTACATAGACCAACAGACAGTCATTCAAATAGAACAAGGGGATATTGTATGGTTTAAAAGCAGGAAAGGTGTGTGTCAGGGTTGTATCATTTCACCAAACTTATTCAATCTGTATGCTGAGCAAATAATCTGAGAAGCTAGACTATATGAAGAAGAACGTGGCATCAGGATTGGAGGAAGACTCATTAACAACCTGCATTATGCAGATGACACAACCTGGCTTGCTGAAAGTGAAGAGGACTTGAAGCACTTACTGATGAAGATCAAAGACCACAACCTTCAGTATAGATTACACCTCAACATAAAATGAAAATCCTCACAACTGGACCAATAAGCAACATCTTGATAAACTGAGAAAATGTGGAAGTTGTCATGGATTTCATTTTACTTGAATCCACAATCAACACCCATGGAAGCATCAGTTAAAAAGTCAAACGATGTATTGCATTGGGCAAATCTGCTGCAAAAGACTGCTTTAAAGTGTTAAAAAGCAAATATGTCATCTTGAGGGTTAAGGTGCACCTGACTAAAGCCATGGTATTTTCAGTCACATCATATGCTTGTGAAAGCTGGACAATGAATAAGGAAGACCAAAGAAGAATTGATGCCTTTGAATTATGGTGTTCATGAAGAATATTGAATATACCATTGTCTTAGGCTGGCATCTCTAAAGGAGCAAAACCAGTAAAGTGCATAAATATATATAGAGAGAGATTTATATCAGGGATATGACTCACACGGTTGTAGAGCCTGGAAAGTCCCAAGTCCCTGGGTCAGGCTGGAAGCTTCTCCCGATTGACGTAGCTTCAGGGGCTGGTGAACTCAAGATTGGCAGGTCAGATAGCAGGGCTCTGACTCATAGGCTGCAGAGATGGATGAATCCCAAGATCAGCAGGCAAGGCAGCAGGTAAGCTGCTAGCTCAAGTCCCAAGAACTGGAGGTCAGATGAACAGGAGCCAGCTGCAGGATCCAGAGCAAGCAAAAGCCCACAAGGCTTGTCAGAAAGTCCACCTGTATTGGATGCAGGCCACACCTCCAAGGAAACACTCTCACAACAGATCCCATCATGGAGGTGATCACTTTCCATCAGATCTCATCACAGAAGTGATTACATCATTATATGACTGCCAGACTACACCATAACTGCCAAACTACCGAGAATCATGGCCCAGCCTATTCGACACACAACCTTATTATGGACTGCCAGAAGGATGAACGAATCTGTCTTGGAAGAAGTACAGCCAGAATGCATCTTAGAAGTGAGTATGGAGAGACTTTTTCTCACATTCTTTGGACATGTTATTAAAAGGAACCAGTCCCTGGAAAAGGACATCAAGCTTGGTAAAGTAGAAGGTCACTGAAAAAGGGGAAGACCCTCAATGAGATGGATTTACACAGAGACTGCAATAACGGGCTCAAACATACCAACACTTGTAAGGATGGCACAAGACCAGGCAGTTGCACATAGTTCTGTTGCACATAGGATCATTTGTAAATCTTATAATTAGTAATATGTACTACATATAATGTTGCAGACCATAATTTGATGTTCAAAGATTGAATTTATAAAGATACTGATAATAAAAGGTAATAACAGAGACAACTAAAAAAAAAAAAGTATTCAACTTAGATCAGAATAGACTTACAATGGAATTGTTGGAATAGAATCCTGTCCTAGGTCGAGGACCACCTGTATTACAAAAATTTGAGATGCATACTGTGTCATAAGTTATTTATGAGTCATCTCTTTGACTGCTGTTTGAAAAGCAAACATAATACTAGAAATATATTAACAAGAATAAGATATGAATTAATAAGTATATTGAGCATGCTTCAAACTCATATGACATCACTATATTCAGTTTTGACAAGTAGGTGTAAAATAAACCAAAAGCCAGTTTCTGTAGAGTTGATTCCAACTCATGGCAACCCCAGAGTAGAACTGCACTCCATACAGTTTTCAACGGCTATGATCTTTTGGAAGCAGATTGCAAGGTCTTTCTTCCAAGGCGCCTCTTGGTGGATTTGAAATGTCAAACTTTTGATTAGTAGCTGAGTGCTTAACCATTTGCACCACCCAGGGACTCCAGCTTAAAATAGGACATAGAAAAAATAGAAAGTTTCCATAGGAGATTAACAACCAAAGATATATAAAATATGAGCAGGCAATGTGAAACAACATAACAGCATGCATTTACTTTGAAGCAACTAGATCCAAGTTTAAACCTTAGTCGCAGGACTTTTTAGTTGCAGAACCTTAGCCTGGCTAGTTGCCCTGTCTGAGAAATGAGAGCACCTTCATTTGGTGGTTGTGATAGAACACATTACATCAAGCCTGGTCTCTGTTTACCACTCAAACACAAATCGTTTCTTCTCTCCCTAGGAAATATATTCTTAAAAACTAGAGCTTGCAAGAAAGGAATTAATTTGAAATTGTTTTAAATGAAAAGAGGTTATGTAGCCTGCCCTTCCTTCCAGTGCACAGTTACTCTTAATACCCTGAAGAGCCTCAGCTGGAACAAACAGCCTTAAACTGCATCAATTTTCTTCATCACTTCCTGGGGAATATAATACTAGAATAGACCCTAGGTCCTAGAGTGTCTATACCAAGAAATCATGCAAAATAATAATAAATATGTATGTAAATGAAAAACCTAGCCTGATCTCTTCTGCGGAAATTTTAATCTCAGATGTGTTCTACATGGTCATACAGACTGTGCCGCTATCCATTTATCTTGAGACTGAACCGCCCCAAATATTTTCTGAAATATATTTGTAAATTTAGTGCATTATACACATTAATTCTTTATAAATATTTATTTTATAGCTTTTACAACTGGGACAGTCATATTGCTGTTTGGAATTCAAGTCCCAATTATCAAGTGATTGCTGATAATCCAGAAGGCTTACTCTTCAAATACAAAAGAGACAGAAAAATTCTCAATGTGGACCCCAAGGTAATTTTTCTTTTTCACTTATAAACTCTTCAAAAAAGTATTATATTTCTACCATTATTCAAAAATCTATTAAATATTTGAAACCTTAAGTTTTTTTTTAAATTATAAATGAAAAACTATTTTGAAATCTAAAGCATTTACTGTCTTAAAAAAAAATCCAAATCTTAAAAAATTATCAAGAATCAATAAGAAAGAGTTTTGTGGGAATTTAAACAGAATTCATAAGTAGAAACACTTCTTCATGCCTAGCAGCAGAATTAGATCAGGGATCCAGTTGGTAACATCTATTTGCTCTGATCTTACGAAGGTCTCAGTCACTTTTTGCTCTGAATGGGGAAGTGAACCATTTAGAGAGGGGTACTCTGACCTTAAAACACATTTTATTTAAATATTTTAAAGAGATGTCCTATGATATTTCAAACTTTTTGAGAACAAATATTTACAACTTACATATTTTTAAGACTGCATTTTCATGCATTAATTGATTTTAATCATGACTTGTCATGTCTGAGGATGAAGGTTGAAACTTTGTTTAAAGTCATTATGTTATGAAGTTGTTAAGATTTTCTTCTATTTTAACTCTTGAAAAATATGTTGTGCATATGAGAGTATCAGTCCAAAATCCAAAGCAAAAAAATATATATACTTATAGTGAAAGAAATAAGAATTATGTGATACACCTGGGGTAAGGACAGGAACAGACAAAAGGAAAAGAGGAGTCAGACTCTAAAACTTTTCCTACCAAAATAATTTCTTTCATATTCATTTAGTATAGCTCCTTGCTCATAGAGTGCTCAATAACTATGTGTCCAAAGAATGAATGAATGAAATTCCAAAGCAGGAAATGTATTATCTCTGCAATCAGATTCAGCTGCAGATATTAGAAATCCCCGGATAGTGGCTCAGACAGGATAGAAGCTTCTTCTTCTCCCACATGTGAGTCTTGATATTAGCAGTCTTAAGTTGGTATGGCAGCTCTACAGTCTACTGAGTCCAGATGGACCTCATCATCATAAGCCAAACTGGATTTCCAATCAAAACAACCACATTGCAAACAAAACGCAGAGTAGAGTAAAAGGGCACAAAGAATATGACCTCTTTAGATCAGGGAGCCAGTTGATAATACATCTGTTTGCTCTATTAAGAAAGGTTCCCAAAATCTACCACACAAACGTTTGCTTAGGTTCCATTTTGAGAGCTTAGTCACGTGGTCATATCTAGCTATATGGAAGGCTAGATAATGCAATTGTTAAATTGAAGTGGCCATGTGTCCTGCTAAAAATGAGGGTTCCTGGAAAAAGAGAAAATAGGTTGGGTAGACAACTAGCAGTTTCTGACACAATGCTGTCTCCTTCAAAAGAACATTAAGTTCTCATGTACCTACTAGAAAAATGAGGGGAAAGGACCAGAAAATCTTTACGGCCATATGTACTATGTATCTAGGAATACCAGAGAAGTTTATCAGTACACCTTCTCTCTAGTGGTGGCTCTTTACTTATCATAAATGGGTGTCAACATGTGATCAGTTAAGGCAAAGTACAGAAAGCTTAGTAAAAGGCATTCACAGACTCTTCCTTTTAGAAAGCTAAATTACATACAGGAAAAATGTATAAAATTATTAATAGCTTCATTAAGATGTGCAAATCAGTTTATGAATGACATCACTTCGACTATTTTAGAGCTCTATTTTAACTAATGACATATACATACTACAATAATGTATGTCATGAAGTTTAGATTTTATGGTCTTTGGGGAATCATTATTGAATACAAACTGTTACTTGAACATGGTTCAAATAACTTTAAGTAAAACCTTCAGTTCAAAAATAATCAATCGCGACATTTCAAGGACTTAGTCAACAATGCATTAAAATATAATATTTCCCACTTTTTTTTCATGGAATATTTTTATTATAATTTAAAAGAGTCATGACGGAATTTGAAGGAAAGTTTCTTTCAAATCTTGGAAAAAGAACAAGGACTTAGTTAATGAGTGATAAAGTAAGGAATTATTGGATAAGACAACTGATGATATTTGAATACTTATATTTCTTTAAAAATTATTTTAATTTTACCTTTTTGAAGATAAAAACTAAAATCAGACTCATCAGAAAACATGTGGTTCTCAGTATCAGTAAACCAGGTTGTAGACCTTGCTTTACTGGCTTCATATATTTGAGAAATTCGCTTATCTTCCCTGGACTTTAATGTTCACAATTGGAAAATTATATCTTTTGTTCTTTGTTTCTGACCTCTAGAGTCCCTCTAAAGTCTCAGTTCCAATTCACAGAGATTCTGATTCAACTGGGCCCTGAAATATATATTCTTAATGAGCAACCAATGTGACTCTGTACAGATTGTCCATAAACCACATTTTGAGAAACCTTCGCTATAAGAAGACAAACATCTCTGCCAATTCATCCTCAAACATAAATGAAATAACACTCATATTTTATGGACTGGATATATAATTAGCATGTTCATCTCCTACATAATTTCTTAACTCATTGACCCTCTTCAAAGATCCATGACCCTTTTACTTTTCATACCTCCAACATAATGATTCTTTGACCTTCGTAATAATCAAGAAGTAAGTTCAAATGTATATTTTTAAATCTACAAATGTACAATGATAAGAATTAGATTTTATACTGAATATTATTTCTTAATAAAATTTCTTGAAATTCCTCCTAATATGAACACTACCATATAACTCCACATTAAAATGCTATAAAATATTGTAAAAACAATACAATTCAACTCTATTTTTCTTTTGATTTAAACACTGTCTTTGAAATCTTTGGTGCTTAAGAGGTCAAGATAAATAAAAGGTGGAAACAGTGATAAACAGGATGTTTTCTTTGTACCACATAGATGTAGACTCATAAATTCTAGAGCATGGTTCCCACGAAATACAGTTGTTTGTGAATGGTAATAGGGAGAAAAAAAAGAAAATTGTGCAGGTCTTAGAACAAGTAATATGAGTTCATTAGTTAAGAAATTCCAAACGCAGTAAGAGTTTGGTTGCATTGAAAACAGGGCCACTGGCTTTAACTTTACTGCAGCTGTATAACATCTGGAACAAATAAGGAATGTTTCTATTTCTGAGTGAAGAATGCTTGTCTGAGTGATTCACACCCACCAAAATGTTTCCAGTGTATCATCTTTAGAAGGATTGGGTGGAAGCACTTTGCACTCACTCCCCTACATTATCTGGACAAATGAAAAAAATAGGCATTTTTCTTTTACTTTTAGGAAACATTAACCATGAGAGAGTTTGCTCTGAGTCTTACCCTAACACAGGTGGTCTAAAATCTCCATAGTCTGCTAATAAGGCGAAGGAGAAAGAGATTGAGTAGAATAGTTAAAACAAGAAAATTGTTTCTTAATTATGCCAATTTTTCTCCCTTCTCCTTTTCAATTCACCAAAAGGCCTGTGAGAGCCCATCACCTGGGAAAAATGCCTGGTTAGATAGTACTTGACAAACATTCACTGAATAAATGATGAAATACTCCCTACAAACACACACAAAAACAATGCTACACTAATTAGAAGTTGAGGAGTAGATTGTGCCACTGATACTTGATGCAGCAGGGATGGCAAGAATGACAACAGCCACCTCTACTCTATGTTAATCCAAATAAGTCAGAAAAAATATTGCAGAAATTTATCAGTGGATGCAGCTAGCAAGTCTTATTTTTAGGTTTTTAGAGGTCATTCAGACATCTTTCTTTTGGTCTGTGTTCTCAAGTGAGCTTGTGCAGTCCCAAGAATATGTAATTTAAGCTACCTCAAATTAAGACTGGTGAATTAGAACACGTTTTTGGCTGAAGAAAAAACTGACTCAAATAGGTTAAATTACTTTCTCAAGATCAAGAGTTAATAATTAGTAGAATCTAGCAATGACACTTAACTCAAATATTAAAAGAAGGCATGAAGGACGAAAAGATAAGCAAGACTTCAATCACGTTGCCCTGTAATTGCTTATTGTATATTTAGGGAAATCAGGGCATGTAAAAAATGGAACTGTAATAGAAGACAGAAAGTGATACGTAGCAAAAGAAAGATACGTTTGCAAATTCAGTGGAAGAAGTGATTACTTTTGATCTGGGGACAGGAGCCAGTGGAGAGACGATGGGGGAAGAAACACAGTGGGGGATAATATTAGGTGATAATGTGGATGTGATGTTTTAGCTGGGACTTGAAGGATTAGGAATTGAACTCGTAGAGAGGGAGAGGTGGATAACATCAGCAGGATAATATATTATCAAAGATAAGAGTCATCAGTGTGGAGCAGGCAACAGAAAACCTAAATAGTTCCATTTGTCTTCTGTGTTGGCTTGGAGATGGAGGGGAGTGGGAATTAAGCCTGGAAAGGTCATAAAAAGCCTCAAATTCAGAACTGATAATCATCTTGGAACAGACTTCATAGGAAATGGGGGAATATCCAAGGCTCATGTGCAGGAAAATAACAGGATGAAGGTTATGCTGAGTGTTGTGATTGCTGTTAAATGCCATCAGCTCAGTTCCAACTCATAGCGACCCTACGTACAATAGAATGAAACATTGCCTAGTCCTGCACCATCCTCACAATCTTTGCTATGCTTGAGCCCATCGTTGCAGCCACAGTGTAAATCCATCTCATTTAAGCTCTTCCTTTCTTTCTCTGACCCTCTACTTTACCAAGCATGACAAACTTACAGATGAGTGGTAGCATACTGAGTAGGACAGAATAAAGAGGAAAAACTGGAGAGAATGAGAGCATAACAATAATCCAGGTGAAGAGCAAAGGAGTCTAGAATTAGGGGCCCTGCTGTAGTAAACGCATTTCTGAGTAGGCTTTTAATATCTGCAACTACCTGATCATCCAGGTAAAGAGATTGCTTATCTATCTAAAAAGAGTAGCTAAGAGATCTTCCTACTCACAGGGTTGCTATGAATCAGAATCAGCTCTACAGCACACAATAACAATGTGTGTGAGAGAGAGACAGCGGTGGGA